TACTAGTAACAAGTGCCTTACTAGTAGGAACAAGAAGCTACTAGTAATTACTAGTAGGAACAAGAAGCTACTAGGAACAAGTGCCTTACTAGTGGGAACAAGACGCTACTAGGAACAAGTGCCTTACTAGTAGGAACAAGAAGCTACTAGTAACAAGTGCCTTACTAGTAGAAACAAGAAGCTACTAGGAACAAGTGCCTTACTAGTAGAAACAAGAAGCTAACAAGTGCCTTACTAGTAGGAACAAGAAGCTACTAGTAACAAGTGCCTTACTAGTAGGAACAAGAAGCTATTAGTAACAAGTGTCTTACTAGTAGGAACAAGAAGCGACTAGTGTGAAACAGGAGTTCTCCTAGGTGCCTGCTCTTCCTGGCGTTAGGTAGGTTGAGGCTAGGCTGAAAGAGCCCGCCTTTTGGTTTTTTGGCTCAAGGTGCAAAGCGCACGAAGCCTGACAGCCTCGACTGTGTGGCGAAAAGTCAAGCGGTGTTCTCGAGCCGACACGTCGCTTTCGCAGTTGGGGGCTGTTCTGGGAATCTCGGTGTCAAAGACCCCAGGATAAGCAGTCGAGGCCTCAGGCTCACTGCTGAGATGGCAAAGCAAGTCCGAGGATACGAAGGGACCTTGCTAGAAGCTATCGAGGCAGGTGTGGTGCCGCGGCCTGAAAGGTTGCGGTACAGGGAGTGGCTTGCTTGGCGGGCAGCGGAAGGACAAAGGCCTTCGCGTCGCCGTGGGGATATCTCAGGAACCACTACAAGCGGTGAAGAAGCGGAGCTGTGGCGCGAGGTCATGCGCGCGCTCCATGAGGAAGACCCAGGAGAAGCAAGTGAAGGAAGTAGCGACAGTCAGGAGGAGGAAGAGCTGCTGAGTGCGGACGACGGGACTGGAAGGGACCGTGCGGCCACCGGCGCCGGGAGATCGACAGAACATCCTGACAGGTTTGCGCTGGAGGCTGGGAGAGCGACTCCTGCTTCTTCTACTGTCGGCAACGAAAGTGTGTTCAAGGCACCAGTTACTGCCGAAGCACTTGAGCACGCAATGGCACGGCCTTACGATGGGAATAAAGAAACAGCAAAGAAGTTTGCGCGAAGGGTTTACCGAATTGCAGATGTCCTGCAAGAAATGGGAGCTGAGGTGGACATGCAAGAAGTGGAGCTCAAGGTGGCTCGCGCCATTTTTTCAGAAAAGGTTCAGGGGCAAACGCCTGAGGAACAGCTCGCCTCTCTCAAAGAGTTTTTCCGCGAGTTATTGTTGGAAGATCCACCTGAAGAGCAAGAAGGAGAGCATGAAGCCCGTTTAGAAGTCCTGTTGCATATGATTCAGGAGAGAGGCGGGAAACTCAGCAAAACCATGGGAAAGGTCTTCTCTTCAAATGAAGGGACGCCTGAAAAGAGCGGTCCGTCGAAGGTGTTGGACTACACTCCAGCGGGCAGGGGCCGCGGAGAAAGCTCTCCTGTGGGCTTATGGGTTTCTCCGCCCAGCTATCGAGAGGCCAGCCGCAGAAGTGGCGGATCTCAAGCGGCGCGTCGCCGAGCTGGAAGGAGACGCTCGGTCCGAGGCTAGTAGGGGTGTAGATGTGAGCGCTTTTGCTGAAGCCATCGAGAAACAGACGAAAGTCATGGCCGAAGCACTCGGAAAGAAACAGAAGCGCTCGACCATTCAAGTCAGCCCAAAAGTCCATTGGCCCACGTTGGATGATGAGTGCAGCGACTACCGGTCAGTCCAGGAGTTCTATGACTCTTTCGAAGCCACGATTGGGTTAGCAAATGATGGGGACGGGATGACTGACACGGAAAAGCTCACCACGTTGAAGGCATGCTTGAAGCAGCACCGTTTGAAAACGTATGAGCTGATTTACCGCAAGAACCTCGGCTCGGGAATAGTCAAGGAAGATCCTGGCGAGGTGTACAGGCAAATCAAATCCAAACATTTGATGTTCTCCGAGACTGCGGAAGAGAAAGAGATTCGCGTCTTGGAAGAAGGTGATGCCCTTCAGAAAGGAAAACTCTCCGCCTTCCAGTGGGAAGTGCGATGGGAGTCTCACCTGGCGGATCGAGACAGCGTTGGGCTTGGTCTAAACGCGAAGGAAGCCTTGATCCAATATTTCAGGAAGATTGGGCCCGCGCTTTCCCGCGACGTAAGACGTGACAGACGTTTTCGGCCGGATGGGTCGGGGGGAAATGTGTTCCGCGCAGTTGCGACATGGGAGGAGGCTCATGAAGTCGTAAAGGAGATAGAGGAGACAAATGCAGGACAGAAGGCGCTAAACAATAGCACGTTTGCCGTCAAGCAGGTTGGAAAGGATGGCCAGAAGGGAGCAGATCAGATTCACGCGCAAGGCTCGGAGTCCTTAGCGGCAAAGGTGTGCTATGAAATGCGGGACAAGGGCACTTGCTCCCGCGGAAAGGATTGCAAGTTCTCCCACGACAAGGCAGTCGTGGAAGAGGCAAGAAGGAAATGGATGAAAGAAAAGAAGCAGCAAGAACGGCCTTCCGAAGAGCCAGTAGCCAAGTACGAAGGAGGGCGGAAAGGAGGAAAAGGAAAAGGTAGTGGCCGAAAAGGGGCGGATCAGGCAGGATCCAAGGGCGGGCAGGACGACCGTAAGTCCAAAGCGTGTAGATTCTTCAACACTGCCGGTGGCTGCTCAAGAGGATCCAAGTGCCCGTTTAGTCACGCCTTGCAAAAGGGGTCTGGAGGTCCTCCAGGAAAAGGCAATTCTGGTCCTCACCTTCAGCTCGCTAACCTCCCGGACCTCCGTGGTGTAGATGGAACTGGCAGAGGCATGGAATGCAGTAACCCTTTTGGTTGTTTTGAGCCTGTGGTGTGCAGTGGGAACGGCCGAAGCCAAGCGACCGAAAAGGTGCTGGCTACAGATCCCAAGGCCAAAGGCGAGAAAGGGAAGGCCGGGAAGCAAGGAAAAGGAAAAGGGAACAGCAATGATCTGACAAGTCTGGATCAGCTCCCGCAGCGTTGGTGGACTGAGTCGCCAAACTGCAAAGGGGGGTATGAGTACCAGACAGAGGTCAAAGTGCTGGATAGGTATGTCGGATGCTTATTGGATGGCTGCGCAGGGTGTAATTCAATCACCGAGGAAGTAGTGATGGGAGCCATCCGAGCAGCTTTGCAGCAAGGGATCGGGCCGGACAGTGAAAAGTTTCCGGTGGCCCAATTACCCTGAGCATCGAATATTGATTACAATCAATAAACTTGCTAGTTTTCCTATTGATTTTGAAAAGTTTGATTCACATTGAAAAATCAATTTTTTGCATATTGATTGGATTGATCTCCTTCTATTGATTCTGCTATTGATTTCAAACATTGATTTTTAGTGGCTGTGTATATTGATTTTGATATTGATTTTGATATTGATTTGTATATTGATTTTGGTGTTGGTTTTTGTTTGTTTTGTTGTGGTGTATTTGTTGGCTGCTTTTGGCCCTCAGCTCTAGAAGGGTAGGAAAAGCAGAGCTGCCCTTGTTAAAGGGATGCCACAAGGCAGGGGAGGAGCAAGACATAAAGCCAAACCCTTTGTGGACACTGGGCTTTTGCTGAAGCTGCTTGGCAAACATGAGGAGCTCATAAAGGATTTCAAATCCTATGATGGTCTGTCAAGAAACAGTGCTGTTGACCCAAGGGGGTTGGTCAATGCACTTCATTTTGTGAATGATGTGCTGGAGCTCTCCCCTTCTTGTGAAGTGCATCCTCAGCCTCTGAGGAACTCCTTGCTGCAGCTGCTGTCCAACAAGCCCCACTTGAATTTGACAAAATTTAATGGATCAGTGTGGGTGAACATGAAAGCTGAAAGGGTGGGTGTTGTGTTGCACCATGTTCGAAGACTGGCCAGAACTGGGCCAAACTCCAGTTGCACCAGCTCCTTGACTGGTATGGAGTACCAGTGGTTGAAGGACACCTTGGCAAAGGTGGAGCTGAGAGATGAGAATGAAAGCCAGCCAACAAAGGCTGAGGAAGAAGAGGACACTAAAGTTGATCCACTGGAAAGCAAGCCTTGCAAAAGGTTGAGAGCAAAAGCAAGTGATGTTTCAGTTGATGATGCTGGATTCCCAAAGATGCTGGACAGCCCACCCAACAAGACTTCAGAGACAGGCCCACCTAGAATCTTCAACAAGAAAAAGATAAAGGTGCAGCCTGAGCCAGAGACCATGCTAGATTTGAGGGAATCAATGGGCTGGGTAATGAAAAAGCCCTGCACCAAGACAGGTGGATCCTTGAAAAAACCATGCACCAAGACAGGTGGACCCTTGAAGAAGGGAGATGAAGTGAGTGAAAGAAGGCCATGGCAAGTGCTTAGGAAGACTACAGCCACAAAACCTGAGAGGTGTTACCTGACTGGCACACAAGAGAAAGGTGGGAAGCTGAAGCTGATTGTAGAAGTCAAAAAATCATGGAGCAACAGGTACCCTTTGGTCATTGACAAGATCAAAGAGTCCTTGGAAAAGGATCACCTCACCAAAGAGGAAGCATTAGCCTTGAGGGAACAACTTTGCAAGAAATATCCTTGCAGCCAAACCTTGCATACCTTTGAGAAAGGGTAGCCAGGCATGATGCCAAATTTTTGCATACCTTTGGAAAAGGGTAGCCAGACTTGAAGCAAATGCTTTACATACCTTTGAGAAAGGGTAGCCAAACATGAAGCAAAAGGCCTGCCTACCTTTGAGAAAGGGTAGCTAGAGATGAAGCAAAAACCCTGCATTCCTTTGAGAAAGGGGATAGGGCTGCAACAGTCAGTTTTTGGTTTTTAGATGGCTGCCAAAGGCAGCTGGCTTGGATGTCATCCAAGTGAAGAAAAGAAGGGGTGTCCAGGTTGTGATGGCTTTCATGTTTGTTGACATGTTTGTTGAAGGTGTGTAGGAGTGCTTAGGTCTGTAGAGCTGTAGAGTTGTTTTGTTTCATGTTTGTTGAAGGTGTGTAGGAGTGTTTAGGTCTGTAGAGCTGTAGAGCTGTTGCCAACCACCAAGGGTTTGTAGTTGTTTTGGGTTGTAGGGTTTGAGCACTGCAGCTGTTTTGGCTTGAGCTGAGCCTTGTACAAGGTTACAAACCTGTGCCCTGCTCAGGCAGGGCTGCCATGGAGGAATGGCCTGGTTGGGCCTGGAAGGAATGGAGGAAGCAGATCTGCCTTGAAAAAGGCAAGGATAAGGTGAACAAAGCTGGAAGGACAAGAGGACAAGGGACCACAAGCAAGGCAAGACAGGAAAGGAGGCATCCTAGAGCTGTTCTTGCAGCGCAGGCCCCACCACCACAACCACCACAGGACAGAGATGAAGAAGATGATGGAGAGTGGTGGGCAGCCAACTCTTGGAAAAGAGATGATTGGGGCTGGGATGAGTGGCAATGGGATGAGTGGCAATGGGATGAGTGGGAAGACAACTCTTGGAAAAGAGACTCTTGGTTTGATGATGAGACTGATGAAGAGCCTGCTTCCTGGAAAGATGTGGTGTGCAGGGAGAGGAAGAGGAGCAGGTCACCTTCACACAGCTCAGACAGGAGCTCATCGAGCATGCACTCAACCAACAGGTCACCCTCTTGGAAAAGAGAGAGAAGGAGCAAAAGCTCCAGCACCTACAGCAGAAGGTCCAGCAGAAGCTTTTCCCCTGACTGGGATTGCTCCAGCACCTACAGCAGTGGAAGCAGGGGAAAGAATGGGCCAAGGTCAAGGTCAGCCACACCAACACCCAGTAGAGTGTGGCAGAAGAAGGAGTTGGAGAGGCAAGAGTGGCACTTGGCCAGCAATTTTGGAAAGGCTGAGAAGCTGGAGACTTTGTATGAGAAGCCAGCTGTGGGAACAACACCTGAAAAGGTGGCTGCAAAGGAAAACAAGCCTGATGAAGAGAAGAAGAAAAACAAGGAGAAACATGTGGAGCCAAGCACAGGTTCCAACTCAGGCTCAGCAGAAATGGCAGATGCAGGGGATGCTACCACACCTGCAAAGGTGGCAGAGACCCCTGGCAAGGTGGAGGCACCTGTGGAAGAAACACCTGTGAAGGTGGAAGATACACCTGCAAAGGTGGGAAAGGCACCTGCAAAGGTGGAAAAGGCACCTGCAAAGGTGATGGTTGACTTCCACAATGTTTTGGAAGTAGATGGCCACATCCCACAGCAAAACATTGATGCTGTGTTCAGTCTCCTTGAGAAAGGAGTTGCAGTGGTTGTGTGCTCCTTTGCCTTCCCCAGGAGGGAGAGGGAGGTCATGGCCACACTGGCCACAATGCCTTGGTTTGATGCCTTGGAAAAGGCTTTCTGCATCAGAGAGAGGACTGGCAGATGGGGGAAAAGCAGCTGGGCTCTTCACCTTGGCTGCACAGCCCTCTTTGATGATGGTGCTGACATTTGTTCTGAAGCTGCCTTCTGGAAGCTGGACACTTACCCCATCTGCACTCACAAGGAAAAGCATCACTGGTGCAGAAAGCCACACCCCACACCACTGGAGACCTTCCAGACCTTCAAAGATGCTGTGGACAGGTATTTGGAAAAGTACTGAACCACAGCAATCCCTTGTGAAAGGGTAAGTGGTCTTCCAAGAGGAAGTGGTCTTCCAATGCCTTCTGATGGCATGTGTGGCCCCAAGGTCCTTTGAGAAAGGGATGCATGTTGAATGTTTTGTTTTCTGCCTAGCTGCCACTGCCAGGTTCTTGTGTACACTTTATAGGAAAGCAATTCACAAATAACAAAAACTCTGTAGCCTCCTTGTTGTTTTCCAAAGCAGTGGCAGCAATGGCACAACTACAGACCACTGCCTGGATGGACAGGCAAAAAAGGATGTGTGGGCTGGATGTTGGGCTGGGTTTGAAGGTAACCTTCAATAGATGTTTGGGTTCTAGAAAGTTTTGGGTAGGTACTGGTGGAGACAGGAAAGGTGATTAAGGGTGATGAGGGGTGATGAAGGGTGATGAAATATGATGAAAACCATAGTTTTAATCACCCCCCATCACCCTTCATCACCCCTCATCACCCCTCATCACCCCACTACATGTCATGCAGTCTTTTTGCTCAAATATTTCCAAGGTGTAGCTACCCAGATTGTAGCAGCAATGAAGAGGCCAAGCAGTGCCTTGACACATCAAGCTTTGAAAAAGGCAAAGGGGACAGCTTTGAAAAAGGCAAATAAAACAAAGGCAGCAAAGGGAGCAGCTTTGAAAAAGGCAAAGGGAAAAGCTTTGAAAAAGGCACCAAAAGCCTTGGGAAAGGCAAAGGTGAATTCAAGGAATTTGGCAAAGCTTGGCCAACTCTCACTGAAGGAGAAAGTGAAGAAGATTGCAGAGGAGCATGATGATGAAATTGAAGCAGCAATGGTCCTTCAGGAAAATATGACTGCACAAGAGAAGACAAGGGCCTGGAACCGATACAACAAGTTTGTTGAGAAGCCAGAAAATGATGGTGCCAAAGAAGTGTGGCAGAACCAGTCAAGGAAGGACAAAGGGCTCTCAACTGCTTTGCACTTGATGAGGACAGAGTCCCCAAAGTTTTGCTTTGTGGCAAAGCAAGCTCAGTATGAGCAATCTCTTGAGAAAGAGGAGAAGTGGCTAAGTGAGAAGGAAGCTTATGACAAATGGGGTGAAGAAACCCTCAACAAACACATCAGCTCTGGTCGAGTTGTGTGGAGGGAGATGGGTGGAGTCTATGAGTACCAGGACACAATGGATTACACAAGAAGATCCAGGGGGACTTCGACAAAGACCTGGCAGGTGGGGCAAGAGTTCCAGCTGCAAGCTGAAGAGCAAAATGAATGGGAAACCTTCTTTGAAAAGGACTTGCAGCAGTTTTTGACTGACCAGTCCAAGAGCAAGGGCACAAGCCTTGCAAAAGGCAAAGGAAAGAACAAGGGGGGGAACCCAGGCAAAGGTGGAAAGGGTGAAAAAGACCCTGTGAAGGCCCTTGACTTGTTGCCAGAAGATGAGCAGTTTCCAGAAGCCCTGAAGAAACTGAAGAAGACCAGGGACCTCACTGCCAGTTGTTTGTCCAACTTTGAAGAAGCCTTGGAAAAGGTGAAAAAGTCTCCCTACATGAGCAAGCAATCATTGAAGGACAAGCAAGAAATCTTGCAAGATCTCACCAAAGCCTTGCAAAAGGTGAAAAAGGTTCTGAACAAGGGTGAGAAATAACACTCTTGATGAGATGAAGACATGCATGCTGGAGGTGGCTGCTGTGGTGAAGACAGCCAAGGAAGAAGCCAAGGAGGTTGTGCAGCTTGGGCAAAAGGCATTGTCCAAGGCCTCCAAAAACTGAGGCACTGGCCTAGAAACCTTTGCAAAAGGGTGTTGCTGTGCAAGAGTACACAGCACTTCTTTTTGAACCATGTACAGCTTTAAGCCGGTAGAAAAACATGTGCATTGGTTTCTGGCAGCTTCTAGAGGCCCCTTCTAGTGGCACCAAGGCCCCTTCTATATAGTGGCACCAAGGCCCCTGCTAGAGGCCCCTTCTAGTGGCCTTTCAAAGTGTTGATTTGTCAAATGGCCCTCTGAAAGTGTTCTGGAATGTGTCTTTGTTGTATTGTCACTTGGTTCAAGGCTTCATAGTTCATTGCTTTTAGCCAAGGGCCATGATCCAAGATAGCTGTAAGCCTTGCAGCCTTGAAAAAGGAAGCTTCTTGAGAAGCAATGGCCAAAAGACTCAGGGGGTGGCAATTGGAAAGGGAAGTTGGAAAGGGTGAGAGAATACCCCTTGACAAAGGGAAACAAAGCAGATTGGCAACTGCCTTGCTATCATTATGGTCACATGGCAAGCTCAGTGCCATTACAGTCAGGTATTTAGCTGATTGCGCTTGTCTTGATGGGTGCCATCATGATGAACTAGCAGATATAGCTAAAGCTGGCAGCTTTGGAAAGCACCCAGGCAATTGCCACAGGGACCTGCAAAGCCGGTTTGTTAAGCAGGTTGTTGTGCCAAACCCCACTGATGTTCCTGTCAGGTGCATTGACCCCAAGTCCTTGAAAAAGGATGAAGAGATAGCCTCTGTTTTTCTCCCACACATCATGTTCAGTAGCTTGGCAGCCATGCCAAATTTCTATGACCTCTTCCCCATTCAGCATTTGGAGAGGTTCTGGGATGGTGCTGAGGCAGCGTCTGATGAAAGGTTGATTCACCATCCTATGAAGACAAGGGGGTGGAAAAAGTGCACAATACCTCTATTTATCCATGGGGATGCAGCAGAGATGTCAACAACTGACTCCCTCATGATTTGGAGCTGGGGTGCTCTCATGACTTTGTTTTCATCATTGCAATCAAAGTTCTTGATTGCATCCTTTCCCAAATCATCTAGCACCAGGGAGACCTGGGATGATATCACGAAGCAAGTTTGCTGGTCACTCAATGCCCTTTTGCAAGGGATCCACCCAACACATGATGCAGATGGCATACCTTTGAAAAAGGGGTCGCCATTCTTTGAGAAAAGAGGTCAGCAGCTTTGTGCAGGGTACAAGGGGGTGGTATGGTGCATCATGGGCGATGCTGAATTCTTTGCAAACAGCCTGCACCTTCCCCACTGGAGCTCAATTAATCCCTGTGGTGAATGCGATTGCCTTCTGAAGACACCAGCCATTGGAAAATGGGTGAAAACCATTGAGATTGACAAGCAAGAGTTCACCTTTGTTTCCAATCAAGAAGCCATTGAGGCACCTTGCAGCAATCATTTGCTCTTCCACAGAGTGCCAGGCCTCAGCACCACTTTTGTAAGGGGTGGTGATGCTTTGCACATATTGTTCTGCAAGGGGCTCTATAGCCATTTGCTGGGGAGTGTGTTGCATTTTTTGGTCTTTCATGAAGGCCCAGGGAGGCAAAACAAACAGCCTTGGGAAAGGCTTGCAGTAGTGTGGGAAGCCATGCAAAAGGCATATCGAAGCCTGCAATCCCCCACAAGGCTGAGCAATCTGAAACTTTCCATGTTTTGCAACCCAAAGCAGCCTCTCAGTGAGCACCCACAGCTCAATATCAAGGGTGCAGAAGCAAAGCACTTCCTACCAGCCTTTTTGCTGGTGTGTCGATCCATGCTGAGAAGGGATATATGGCTGGAGCTGGCAATGCTTGAGGCAATGGAGCATATGCAGCAATTGGTTCAGCTCTATGATGAAAAGGACATCTTTCTCAGCAAGGAAGACTGGCAGCAAGCTTGGGGCCTTGCAAAAGGTTTTTTGGATACATATGCTTCTTTGAATGCTTGGGCACAAGAGGAACAAAGACCCCTTTTTCACATAGTTCACAAGTTTCATTCATTCCAACACATGGTCTACCAGAGCAGATTCTTAAGTGTCAGAGCATTTTGGTGTTGGTCCAATGAAGACTTTGTGGGCAAGATTGCAACCCTGGGTGCCAGCCTTCTACATGGCAACAGGTCTACAAGGCTGTCCAGAAAAATTGGACCCAAATACCAAATCCTTCTCCACCTTCTCATTACAAGAGAAGGGTTTCAGGATGTTGAGAAAGAATTTTGATCCCTTGCAGAAGGGTGAAGAAAAAAGCTTTGGAAAAGGCATGGGAAGAGCAAAGACTCTGGGGAAGGAACCCTTGGACAAGGGACAGTTTCACAAAACAGCATCCTCCAAATGTTTGAGGAAAAGAGGTGTCTGCCTGCACTTTCATATTGATTCACATTGATTTTTGTATTGATTTTTATATTGATTTTGGTGTTCAAACTTTGATGCTGCGCTATTGATTTTTCTATGGAAACTCTTAAGTTTTTTTATTGATTCTACAATCAATCCAATCAATAGGCTCAAATTGATTTTGTAGAAGAATCAATGTGAAAATGAGTATATTGATTGTAATCAATATTCGATGCTCAGGGTAGAAAGATGGCCGCAAGAAGAAGTCGTGATGGGTTTGGCAAATGACGCCCCTATCAAGCTGAAGGGTGCGGTCGTGATGCGCGTTCAGATGCCTGACGTGAACGGCCAAAAGGTCGAAGAGATCCTCGTACGGGCAAAGGTGATCGGCAAAGGGTTGTCGACGTGGCAAGGCCTGATCCTCGGCGGCCGGGCGCTGGACGCGGTGGAGCGCGGCGGACTGGGTTTTAGGCCAGCAGCGTCGCGCCATGTGTTTGACGGCTTGGGAGTGAAATTACCTAGAAAGGAGGAGATGGAGCCGTTTCCAGACCGTGCCTATCCATTTGTCTCTATCCCAAAGACCCTGTTCGATCAGGCATGGGATCCGGACGAAGAAGGTGACGAGGTCAAGATGGAAGGTGAAGTGTTCGTCAGTGAAGAGGACCTCGTGATGGAGCCGATGACAGGGGACTGGATCAGAGTGACCAGTCAGGAAGGGACATCTAGGCGGCAAGTTTCCGAAGGAGACACCGTGATTCTGCCCTTCGAAGGAGCAAAGGCTGAAGTGGTGCCAGGGATCTGGGACCCGAAGCAAGCTGAAGGTCAGGTATACGTGGCTGCTCAGGACACAGAGATCGTCATCTCCAAAGGGGATCCACTCTGTGTAGCCGTTCGAGAAATCTGCCCGACTTGCCAGGTTGTGGAAGCAGCAGCCTGGATCTCAGGTCCAGAGTGTGAGGCGTGCAAGGGGATGCAAGTTCCTAGATGCGGGACAAATGGTCTTTGCAAGAGATGTGGAAGTCGCATGGTCGGAAGAGAGCAGAAACGTTGTGCTCGATGCAGACCGCAGCAGGCAAATGGCAAGCCGCAAGTGGTGCTGCTCCTAGCAGGCCTCATGGCGTTCTTGACGGCAGGGGTCGCGGCCGAAGGCGCGCCCGAAGCTGTAAGTAAAGGAGTGACATCTACATGGAAGCCGGCGCAAGAATCAGTTTTTCACATTGTAGAGACTCCAGGGGCTTTGGACCTCATGGCGGAGGAGAGTCCAACGGACGAGTACTATCATCTCTTACGGGAGGATATGGAGAAAAGGTATCCGGAAGCCTCAATCCATCTGTTGGACCACCTTGAAGCCCTGGAGTCCTTCCTAGATCGGAGTATCATCGCAGGGATGACGTTTGGCATAGACAAGGCAAGCGTCGCTGTTGTGGAAGGCGAGCTGCTAGGACATGTCGTCGGACGTTCTGGCGCCCGAAGCAACCCTGAGCGGACCAGGGCGGTCGCCGGGTTTCCGCCTCTGAAAGAGAAACTCCATATCCAACAATTTCTTGGATGCACAAATTTCTTGAGAAATTACCTCCCTCCACAGTATGGTTATTGCGCAAAAGTGCTTGGCCAGTATATGAAAGGAACAGAGAAAATCCCAGAAAGCGGATTGGGCCCTGGAGATACTCTCGGGGACAAAGCAGTAAGAGCGATAAAACTGATGGCTCGGCGGTCGATCGAATTGGCCGTCCTGGACGAAGCAAGTGCGATCACCCAGGAAAGACCATTAGGGCAGATAGCAGACAGCTCTGGGTATGCTATCGGGGGTTCGGCGCTGCAAATGCGGGCGGACCTGTCAGGCTTCAACGTTTTGGTCACCCATAGCAAGGGGTTGACGCCAGCCCAGCAAGCCTGGGCCCCCTTGTCTTTGGAAGGATACGCGCAGTTGGAGGTACGAAGAGCGGTGAAAAAGATCCTGGGGCCGATCCGGTCGATATGTTGGACAGATCACAGTAATTGGACAAGACAACAGACTGCCGAAAATGTAGAGCCTAAGCATCTCCGGTGGTTGAGTGAGATCCTGGCTGATGGTTCAGAACTCCGGAGTTTGTCCGGGAGAAGTGCGAAACTGGGAGATGGCTACTCGAGGAACCCGCCCGAGAGGGATCAGCTTCTGGAGCAAAGAAGCAAAGATCTGGAAGGACTGATAGGTCAGTTCCGCGGATTCTCTTTGGAAGGGTATCTCGGGGAAGAGGCGAACGACATCTTACCTTGGTCGATCGGGGAAGGAGTTCTGCCGGAAGCAGAAAGCCCGGATAGCCAGAAGGTGGTGTCGACGATCGCCAGTTTCGTCACCAAATTCGGGAATGACAGAGAAATGCTCAGAAAGAACATGTGCGCAGCGGGAGTATCATCAGATCTCCGCGTGCTTTATGTCCCAGATTATGTATCGGGGGCAGCAAGGCTGAGACAGACGCAAGAGTTAAGTCGGAAGTTCCGGGCGACGTTTCCGGAATGTGAAGTCAAAGTCTCGCTCTCAGAAGGGCCGTTCGAAGACCCGGAAGGGCATGGCTGCCATTTTGAAAAGCAAGGGAAGCAGAAACTGTCAGGGCGAAAGCTGTCGAATGCTACTAGGGTCGACTTGTTGACCTCGGTAGCCACCTTGCTTAGGAATATCAGCCATTACAATCCCCATGTGATCGTGGCAGCAGGTCAGGGCAGCATGTGATTTTGTCCAGAAATATTCAGCAAGGAGAAGCCCACAAACTAGCGACTGCTTGGGCAAAAGTGAAAATCATCGCAGGAGTCAACCCGAGGATTAGCAAAGCAAATCCAGGTTGTGAGTTGCTCAAGGAAGCCTGCCCGGAGATGTTCAAGCCACATCCCCTGGAAAGTATTCCCCGACTAGGCCTCTTAGAAGGAGAAGTTCCGAGGAAAGAGGAAATCCGGGAATTCCTGGGAGCGGCAGGAGTAGTGCTGGTGGAGACGTGGGATTCGATCTTGTGGAAGGGATGGCTGGAAAAGCCTTCAAAAGATATTTGGGAGCATGGTGGGTTGTGTGCCTGCGGTCGGAGGACGCGGCTTTTCGGGCAGTGCATGGAGTGCATCGCCCAAGAGCATTCCGAAGATAAGCTTGCAAGGGCTTTGAAAGAGGAAGAAGAATGCGTCGAAGAAGACCAGGGAGCTAAACGAGAAGGGCTCATACAGAGTTTCAATCTCAAGGCAGAGATAGAGAGAGATGAAGACACGGGGTTGGAGAAGTTGACGAAAGGAGCAGAGGATTGGCTGGATCAGAGATACCGAGAAAGGGAAGCTGTGGCAGAAGAGGCCAGAGGAGCTTCAGGCTCTCGGCTCGGAGTAGGCCAAGACTTAAGGAACGCTTGGTTCAAAGATCAAAGAAGCGATCCCAAGCTGCTTCCAATCATCCAATCTTGTTGGAAGAAGAAGGAATCCAGATTCCGAATTGCAGATGATGGACTGCTGGAGAGACTCGTGCATAATGTGGACGGAACAGGCGCTGAGAAATGGGTGCCAGTAGTTCCTGAAGGGGAAGCGGCCCATATGATGACCTGGCGAGAGTTTTGCGCAAGACAGGTTCACGCGGGTGTCATGGGGGCACACAGGAGCGGAAGCAAGATGCTCACCCTGTTGCGACGTACCTGCTGGTGGGAAAACATGGAAGTAGACTTGGAAAAGTTCAGCGACAATTGCCTTACGTGCATACGGGGGCGAAAACGTCCGGCTAAGCAGCAGGCAGTGGCAGTGAAGCCTTCTTGGTTGGAGTGTTGGGAAGAAGTCGCGGTGGATTTCGAAGGCCCAATGCATCCAGAAGATGCAGCAGGTAACAGGTTCATCCTGTCCTATATGTGCTGCGTGTCGCATTCCATCATGCTGGAACCTCGCAAAGCTTTGACGCAGATGGAAGTGAGAAGGGCTTTTTCTAAGTTGATGTTCCGGAGCAGGACTATCCCAAAGGTGCTACGCTCAGATCGAGGCCAAGAATTCCAGAGTACCTTAATGAGAGAGTATTGTGCGATCCTGGGTTTGCGGCAAAAGTTCAGCGCACCCTTGAGGCCCTGCGAGCTGGGTGCTACGGAACGAATCCACCAGGAAACCCAGAAAGTGTTAGGTTTGATGGTGCACGATGTGTGCAAGGCGAGACCTCACGAATGGGGTGAGCTCTTAGGAGTGGTGGAGTTTGTGTTGGATACCACCCCTGGGCCGTCAGGGATTGCGCCTCGAGATTTTGAAAGAGGCTGGAGTATAGCGTGTCCTCTGGAACGAGAACTCTTAGGTCAATCAGTGTGGGAATTTGAGCCCGTAGAAGAGCATACAAAGAAACTGTTCAGGTCTTATCGGGAGATCCGTGTGAAGGTGCTGGGTTGGTATGCAGCCTCTTCTGCCAAAAGGGCGGAACGAGCCAACAGGTTCAGAAAGGTCAAGGTTGTGGAGATCGGAGACCTCGTGGTCTATCGCGACCCGCGCCTCCGATCTGGAGGGCGAACGCCTTGGCGCAAGCAACTTTCTGAACCCTATCGAGTCGTAGCGCAGAGAGGTAACCGTGTGGACCTGGAGTCACCGGTTGAGGGCGGCGTTCGTGGGGGTACGTCTTCTTCTGCGCGTCGCCTTCTTCGCGATGTGCACATGGAGGATTTGTTGCTCGTGCCACCGGACGCCCTAGAAGTGGAAGCAAAAGCAGCGTGCCAGTTTGAAACTGAGGACTCCCCCATGGCAGTCCGCTCACCCGGAATGATGTTAGAGGAACGCGGGCGAGCGACAGCTGCCGCGGAAGGCGTAGTGCCAGGGAGGGCGAATAAAAGAACAAGCCAAGGAAAGCTTGCGTCACTTCGTGTTGGGAGTTTGGTTGCGTACGCCACCGATAGCATTCGGGCAAACGTGCCGGACAACAAGCGCGTCAAACGGTGCAGAGTGGGGCAGGTACGAGACATTCACCCAGGGGTGCAGCAGCTACAAGTGCATAGGTACCAACCGTTTGCCGATGGCAGGTTGAGAGTGTTATGGAAGCCCATCTACTTGTCGGCTGGTACGAAAGAAGAGACTTTTGAAGCCTTGGGGAATGAGCCGCTGATCGAAACAGTTTTCCTGCAGCGCGTGATCACCGAAGTGTTCCTGAACAGTGGCGTAGTGAATCATGCTTCAGCGCGGCGGATTGATGCCAGCGGCTATCGAATCGATGAGCGGAAGTCGCCATCTTTGGTTAAAGAAATGGAGCAACTCCATTGCGCTGCGGTCCAGCAGTCATGGGTGCAAGCCCATGCGACATTAGTGGCCGTAACTAGCCCTGAACGAACGTTGGAGCGACCAGAAAATGGCGACGGTATAGGTGGCCTAGAAGGAGGACCAGAGCTCGAGGCGTTGTTGGAGCAGAAGCACCAGGAGGCATCCAGGAAGTGGAAGGCATTTGCCTCAGCGAAGCAGTGGGACGAAGTACGGTCGGATATGAGTGCGTACCGATTCAGCGGAGAGGTCCCAGCTTCAGACCCGAGGCGTACGGAAGAGTACCGGAAATCCGTCGTGTCTGGCCTGGGTTTTGCTCCCGACAAACGGGATTCAAAAGGCTGGTTGAATGACCAGGAGTTCGCCGCTTGCCGAGAGGTGCTCCACAGGAAGGCGGCAGCCTTTTGGGTCCCACAAATTTTGCGCACCACGGTGCGTCACGTTCAGCATGATACCATTCCAACGGGGCCGCCCGTGAAGACTCCGCCACATCGTTTGTCGCCAGAAGCTGCGGAATGGATAGACAAGAAGATAGAAGAGGAGGTGGCGCGAGGTCAGCTGGTTCGTGGGAACTCCCCATGGGGTAGCCCACCGTTTCCGACTAAGGAGATGCCTTCGCATAAGCGGGCCAGAAAAAGAAGGATCGTGGTGGACTATAGGAGAGTCAACGCCCGAGTTCTTCGAAATTCATACTACAGCAGGAAAGCTTCCAAGGTAATCCTGGAAGCGGCAGGATCGGCATTCCTCAGCATGTTAGATGCCGTCACCGGGGTCAATCAGGTAGAGAACACCGAGAGGGCGAAGAGGGTCCTGGCGCTCGTTTCTCGAAGCGGCCAGTTCTTGCCAACGTGTTTGACCTTTGGCCCGCAGAATGGACCGGAAGATTTCGCGTATGTCGTGGATAGGATTTATGCTCCAGGCAAGCATCGCAGAATGCGCTTGATGAAAGAATGGCTGCCATATGTGGACGATCTGACCATCCGTTCCGGCAGGGTTCTAGATGGAGTCGTCTATCGCGACAAAGAAGTGACTGCTCGCGTCCGGCAGGCGATCGAACGATCTTCAGTGCAGGAGCAGCAGATCACGGAAGCTTTAGAAGCCTGCGGATTTCGCTCTCGCGGCCTGGGCGCAGAAAGCAGTCCAAGCCAACAACTGGTAGGCCCAAAGCGGCCGGTACAAAAGGAAGCGCAAAGAAAAGGCCAAAACAAAGAAGACGGTAAGACCGGCGAGTCAAGCGCTAGTAAGATGAGTTCCCTTTGCGACCAAATAGGTGCGGGGAAGAGCAGGTACGACTTTCCCGACAAACAGGGAGGTGTAGAACCAGAGGTTTGCAAGGTTCCTCCCCCGGTGGCTCTTGTAGAACGAGTGTTGACGGTTGAGTGGGGTGTTAGGAGTTGGGGCAATCCTCAGGAAACCCGGGTTCCTAGTTGCAACAATCCCACTAACGTTTCCCGCAGCCATTTGCTGGTTCAACGGGCGGTGTCTAGCGAGGCCGTAGAGAGCTTGCTACAGACGCCCACCAGAGGCGATAGGAAGGGTAACAAGGCAGGGGACGAGCGACTACTGACCTGCGGGCGCACCCTGCCGCGGTCCGTGAGTATGGGCGGAGAAAAGGGCAAGGGCCGAGGAAAGTTCAAAGGCCTCTGGGATGTTTGGGCGGGGCAGTGGAATGTTGACGAAGTCAGCCGAAGGATCACGAAGCTGCTCCGGCATGGGAGAGACCTCTCAGAGCAAGAGAAGGTGCAGCAGATCAGCGCGGCTGGGTGGTCTGCCGCATCTTTCGTGCTGCGGTGCCTCAACATCATCCCAGATCAAACAACGGATGAGCTGTTAGTGAGAGCGGCAAAGGAGTCTGGAAGGCGTCTGGAGACCAACTGGACGTCATTGGGGCTCTACATCCGGGCGCGTCATAGCTGGAGTCTTCCCCACGTGAGGGAAGGATTACCCCTGGCGATTTTGGAGCAAGAGCCCTCTGTCTTGTTCCACGGAACCTCGCGTGTCGCCTGGCAAGGGATCTTGGGGTCTGGCGCTCTGGTCTCAGAGGCGACCCTGCACGGAGGTCATGGTAGAACCGATGTGCACCTTGTTCGCCAACCAGAAGCGATCAAAAAGGGAAGTGAAGTGATGATCTGGATTCCCACCAGGTTGTTGGGTCGGATCGCCCTCAGAGCCCAGCATCCTGTCTTCGCGAACGAAAAGGCGATTTACTTCAGCTTCCCATTACCAGTTGGGGGTATGTGGAAAGTTACAGCCGTAGATACAAAGGAAGTAGTCTGGACAAATGACGCCATGACACCGAGCAGAGCAGACACGCCGCAAAGCACCCCTAGGGCAGCGGACCAAGTGGTCGCGCCTCAGGCAAGTAATGCAGGTTCAAGGGCCAGAGAAGAGAGCCCAGAATCTTATGAAGAAGGAGAGTCGTCGTATGACGAGGAAGATGAAAGCGAAGCAAAGAAGAAGCCAGGAGAGAGTTCCGCCGAAGGCTCAGAGGAGACGGCAGGTCCTGGAACCGCTGAGGCTACAGAAAAAGGGGGTGGAGAACGCCCGCGGCCGGCTTTTCCACTGCCGACAGAGCCTAAAGCAGGGCTGCCGAAAGTAGCTGCTGCGGACAGTGCCGGGACCAGTGCCGAAAAGGATTCGCCTCTGCAAGAGGACAGGCCACGGAGTTCGCAAGGAACAGCCGCGATACGGTATAAGGCTGCTCCGGCGTGTTTGAAGGCCACAGTCAAGCAAGAAGTCCTAGAGAGCGAGAGGCCTAGTGGTGCGGCGGCAGCGGAGTCAGTGACAGTGGAGAAGGGGGACCAAAGAAGGGAGCTTATCCCATGAAGTAGCGGAAGTAAAAGGAGGAACCTGGAGCGGCTCAGAGCGTCCAGGAAGAGAGCGTGAATGAAGGACCTGGTGCGGCTCATTGCGCCCAGGAGGAGAGCACGGGTAAAGGAAATCCGAGCGAAGAAATTCGTGAAGGAGGGGACCAAGTCGAAGCCAGCAGTTCGAGAGAGACAAAGGAACTTGGGCCTTCCGCTGAGCAAGTCAAGAAAGAAGCGGAAATGACGGTCCCGGTCGGGCAGGATGGGGCAGTAGTCGAGCTGGAACAGAAGCCAGACTCTTCACCCGATTGGGGAACTTCGTCAGCTTCGGAGAGCAGTCAAAGATCCCGGAGCACCCGTCGGAAGCCCAGTCCGACTAGAGAAGCATCCAGCGGTCAGGATGACGCGGATGGATCAGCCCGTCAGGTGGTCTTGCAGGCGAGGCCAGCAGAGCCGACAGTGCCACCAGAAGGGGCAGCAGGAGTACGTAGCTCCACGGCGTCCCGTCGAGACGCCGTGCGGGCGCATATGGAAATGCACGGATCAGTGACGTGCCCGAGGTGTGGCGAAGAGAATGCGCAGCGGAGAGTGAAGTGTTATAAATGCAACCTGGAGAGAGCGGACGCAGGTGCAGTTAGGAGCGAGTTCGAAGCTCCATACCACCGCGGGCATAAGAAACGCGGGAAGAAAGGCTCGGCGCGCTCCTCACACACCTGGAGAGGCGGCTGGAGCTCGGATCGCCAAGGACAAGCCACTGCATCGAGCTCGGAGGACTGGCGACAAGGCTCATGGGCTTCGCAGGATTGGCAGAACGACGCCTGGGCGCCGGAACGCTGGCAAGGTGGCGAGTGGACGTCGCAAGACTGGGGAAGCGGATGGAAGAGAAAGTACGATCCGACGTCCGGAACGGACGAGAACCATCCGTACGCGCATGCCGGGCAGGCGTGGGCAGTTGGCCTAGGGGCGACGCTCCTGTTGGAAGTGGCGTGGTCAGGCGTGAGAGTCGCCCGGCAGACAGGGGAGAGCGCTGCGGCCATAGTGCGCGCGCTCGAAGGAGCTGTCGTGGCGGTTGTAGAAGCCGCCGGAGTACAGGCAGAAGCGACCGTTTCCAAGGTGTTCGAATGGATGGCCTTGATCTTGGCCTTGTGGGCTGTCTGGGCTTTGGGTAGATGGTGGAAGCACCGAGAAATGATGATGGCCGGGTTTAGCGCTGGGAAGAAGCGTGGGAAGAGAAACACCGATGCCGGAAAGAAGGGTGAACCCGAAGGGCAAGAGTTGTCGCCCCTAAGTGCACGAAGTGCCGCTTCACCTCTGCCCGCACCAAATTTTCGAACACTTCGCGCGAAGGCTAGGCTTGAGGAAGAAGGAAGAAGAACGAGATCGTTTCCGGCTCTCCCGCCTTTCAGTGCAGACGACAGGTAAGAGAAGAAGAAATCAGAGACTGGCTGGAGTTGAAACTCCTTCGATGAGCCCGGTCGGGAAAGAAAAGACCACCAAAGATCCAGCGGCCCAGTCGAGGGCGCGGACTGATGACCGTTCGGTGGTGCCAGAGAAGCCGATAGGGGCAGGACCAATCCGAACAATCGAGCTGCTGCGAAGCGCTACCGAGGCGCAAGAGTGCGCAGTACAAGTGCTGACCTCTTGTGCGGCCGAGAGCGCCAAGAAGGAAGTCATGGTTCGGCTCACGGCGTACGCCATCGACCGGCCGGAGTTGTTCGGAGCGCTAAAAGTAGCGCAAGATAGAGGATGCGACGTCGAGGTGTATGTTGATAAGTCGCAGACCGGACGAACCACAGAGCAGAAAAGGTGGGTGCACCAGGCAAGGTCCCAAGGCTTGAAGATCTTCATTGCCAATGGGGAAAGCCTGGGACCGCACTATGCGGCAGCAGGGCGGACGCGTTACAACTTCTGTGGAGCATTGCATGGAAAGACCCTAATGGTCAAGAAAGGTGACCAACTGGAGCTCATTATCGGCTCCATGAACTGGACCACTGCTAGCCGGGGAAACCATGAGATTGGACTTCATTTGACATTAGGTCAGGAAGATCCGCTAGCCATAGGATTCCAAGAATGGGTCAGTAACGTGAAGCAGTTCGCTTGCGATTTCCAGGCAGCAGTAGCATCAGACGCGTACGCAGAAAAGAGCCTCGGAGCGGCCAGGAACTGAAGGCGCCCGAGTGGCAGGAATCCCAGCGGTCCGAGTGACGCGGGACGTGATGGTGGGAAAAGCAGGCAGGAGGGCGAATGTGAAACAGGAGTTCTCCTAGGTGCCTGCTCTTCCTGGCGTTAGGTAGGTTGAGGCTAGGCTGAAAGAGCCCGCCTTTTGGTTTTTTGGCTCAAGGTGCAAAGCGCACGAAGCCTGACAGCCTCGACTGTGTGGCGAAAAGTCAAGCGGTGTTCTCGAGCCGACACGTCGCTTTCGCACTAGGAACAAGTGCCTTACTAGTAGGAACAAGAAGCTACTAGGAACAAGTGCCTTACTAGTAGGAACAAGAAGCTACTAGGAACAAGTGCCTTACTAGTAGGAACAAGAAGCTACTAGTAACAAGTGCCTTACTAGTAGAAACAAGAAGCTACTAGTAACAAGTGCCTTACTAGTAGGAACAAGAAGCTACTAGTAACAAGTGCCTTACTAGTAGAAACAAGAAGCTACTAGTAACAAGTGCCTTACTAGTAGGAACAAGAAG